ATGAAAATTAGTAGTAGTAAACAATCAGAATAATAATAATTAGTAGTAGTAAACAATCAGACTAATAATAATTAGTAGTAGTAAACAATAAGAATAATAATTAGTAAACAATCAGACTAATAATAATTAGTAGTAAACAATCAGAATAATAATAATTATTAGTAGTAAACAATCAGAATAATAATAATTAGTAGTAGTAAACAATCAGAATAATAATAATTAGTAGTAGTAAACAATCAGACTAATAATTAGTAGTAGTAGTAAACAATCCGAATAATAATAATAATTAGTAGTAAACTCACCTGGTATCGACAATCAAGGGTATTTCCCTGTCCCCAGACGACCTGCTTGTCAGTTTTGATGTAGTTTCCTTATTCACCAAGGTTCCTGTACCTGACACCATTGCAATCATTGAAGACTTGGTTCATCAAGGACTAAACACTGAGGTACCCCCCCTGGTGAGACACTGTTTAACCAATACATACTTCACTTGGAATGGAACTTTCTACAAACAAACTGAGGGCACCCCAATGGGCTCCCCCCTTTCTCCAGTTATAGCTAACATTTTCATGGAGAAATTTGAGACTGACGCCATCCAGACTGCCACTCTGCGCCCAACCTTATGGAAGAGGTACGTGGATGACACTTTTGTCATCTGGCCACATGGCCGGCCTGGTCTAGACCAATTCTTCGACCACATCAATTCCATACACCCAGCCATCAGATTTACCATGGAAGTCGAAATAGATGGCAAGATACCTTTTTTGGATGTCCTAATTAAAAAGAGACCTGATGGTTCAATGAGCCACTCTGTCTACAGGAAAGCTACCCATACGGATGCTTATCTGAAACCGGATTCCCACCACCATCCATCACAGAAGAATTCTCTCATCAAGACTCTGTATCATAGAGCCCAATGCATATCCGACCAGGAACACATAAGCAGTGAACTCAAGCACGTACACCAAGCTCTTAGGGCTAATGGTTACTCCGACTATACAATCCGTAAAGCTATCACTCAAACCATGAAGAAGAACCCTCTTGAGGAGCCTTTCAAAACCATCACTTTACCCTACATTGCTGGGATCACAAAAAAGATCTCCAAAATCTTGAATAAACACAAGATCCAGGTCCATTTCAACACATTACATAAAATCCGTGATCTGGTTCCGTCTGTAAAAGATGTGATTCCGGACATACAATACACTGGTGTCTACAAACTAAGTTGCCTCTGTGGTAGTAGTTACATTGGAGAAACCAAACGCCATGTCTCGGACCGCATTCGTGAACACAAAGCAGACCTTAAACACGGTAGGACCAACACCTCGGCCGTGGCAGATCATTGTTCTAATTCAGTAGGCTCACATGCCATTGACTTTTCCAAGACAGAGGTTCTTTGTAAGCCATCTGGCTTCCATGAGAGATTCGTTCATGAGGCTATCCACATATACAAGCACAGAGACAATTTCAACCGAGAAGATGGATTCTATCTTAGCAATCATTGGAAAGATTTGATAAACCATTTCAGGTCTTAATTGATTGTTCACGCTTACAGTGGCTTTCAGACAGCATACATTATAAAAAATTTCGTCTCCCCCCTCCTCTTTTCAGAATATAGATGGACTAGTCCTGGGTAAACTGCCAAATCGTTGCGCGTGGCGCTAACGTTTTTATAAATAAATAAATGTGCCGTTTAAAAATAAATGTATGCGAACCAACACACCTGAAGACGACCGTTTGAGTTATGGTCGAAACGTCGTGAGAATTTTTTTATTGTTTTATATATATTTTATTATTTTGTTGTTTCTCTTCAACGTGACTTCACCGAAAAAACTAAGAATAAGTCTTACTATAATAAGGGTTAAAAGTCAAACACCAAGGGGCTGAAGTATATAAAATTAAATAAATATCGAATATAAAATAGCTTTAAGATATAATTTAAAAATAAAAAATACAAATTGGGTAACATAGTTAATATCGGCAAGGTGTCGTTATGTAGATCAAATGTTAAAAACAGTGTTAGCCCTTGGCCTTGTTTAACAGGCCAGCAGCAGATGGGAAGAAACTGTTTTTATGGCGTGAGGTTTTGGTCCTGATGGACCGAAGCCTTCTGCCGGAGGGGAGTAGCTGAAACAGAGAGTGTCCAGGGTGGGAGAAATCGGCCATAATCTTCCTCGCTCGCCTCATGGACCTTGTCGTGTGCAGGTCCTCGAGGGTTGGCAGATTGCAGGCAATTACCTTCTCAGCAGTGTGGATGATACGCTGCAGTCTGCTCTTGTCCTTGGCAGTGGCAGCAGCGTACCAGACGGTTATGGAGGAGGTGAGGATGGATTCAATGATCGCTGTATAGAATTGCACCATCATTGTCTTTGGCAGGTTGAATTTCTTCAGCTGCCGTAGAAAGTACATCCTCTGTTGAGCTTTCTTGGTGAGGGAGCTGATGTTCAATTCCCACTTGAGGTCCCGGGAGAGAATAGTGCCCAGGAAGCGGAAGGACTCTACAATTTTGACTGGGGAGTCTAACAGGGTGATGGGGGTGAGTGGTGCTGTATTCTTCCTGAAGTCCACAACCATCTCAACTGTCTTTAGAGCATTTAGCTCTAAGTTGTTCTGGCTACACCAGGTCACCAGATTGTCAGCTTCCCACCTATAGTCAGACTCATCCCCACCAGAGATCAGCCCAATGAGGGTGGTGTCATCCGCAAACTTGAAAAGTCTATTAACTTCTCCCTCCTGAAAGGAGATAGTCGTCTCTGTAGTATTGGTGGGGGATGGGGCCTCTTGGGTTGGAAGGGGTGGTTCAGGACAGTCCAATTGTCTTTCAAATCTACAGTAGAACTCGTTCAGGTCGTTAGTAGTAAACAAGCAGAATAACAACTACTAGTAGTAAGCAAGCAGAATAATAATTAGTGGTAGTAAACAATCATAATAATAATAATTAGTAGTAGTAAACAAGCAGAATAATAATAATTAGTAGTAAACAAGCAAAATAATAATTATTAGTAGTAAACAATCAGAATAAGAATTAGTAGTAGTAAACAATCAGAATAATAATTAGTAGTAAACAATCATAATAATTAGTAGTAGCAAACAATTACAACAATAATTAGTAGTAGTATACAATCTGAATAATAATTAGTAAACAATCAGAATAATAATTAGTAATAGTAAACAATCATAATAATAATTAGTAAACAATCAGACTAATAATAATTAGTAGTAGTAAACAATCAGACTAATAATAATTAGTAATAGTAAACAATCGTAATAATAATTAGCAGTAAACAATCAGACTAATAATAATTAGTAGTAAACAATCAGACTAATACTAATTAGTAGTAGTAAACAATCAGACTAATAATAATTAGTAGTAGTAAACAATCAGAATAATAATTATTAGTAGTAAACAATCAGAATAATTTGTAGGAGTAGTAAACAATCAGAATAATAATTAGTAGTAAACAATCAGACTACTAATAATTAGTAGTAAACAATCAGAATAATAATTATTATTAGTAGTAGTAAACAGTCAGAATGAAAATTAGTAGTAGTAAACAATCAGAATAATAATTAGTAGTAGTAAACAATCAGAATAATAACTACTAGTAGTAAACAATCAGAATAATAATTAGTAGTAGTAAACAATCACAATAATAATAATTAGTAGTAAACAATCAGAATAATAATAATTATTAGTAAAAAATCAGAATAATAACATAATTGGTAGTAAACAAGAAGCACCCTGACGATGGCTAAGACTAACTCGCTGACCCCGTGCCCCTGACTGGACATCTGTGACAAAGAGCTTCATAGCTGCTGCGGTCTACATCAAGATTCCAATTCTTGAGTTCCCACGGTCAATCACCCGAAGCCACGGGCGTGGCGCTCGAGTTGAGATCTCGCGACGTTGCTTGAATGCTCACCGGGGGGCCATCGCTGGCAGGAATGCGAGCAACCCCGGTGACTTCTCTCTTCAAGTGGTTTAACGTTGGAAATAAAATACAAACATTTGAATGCCCTCTTCACCGGGACAGCCTTGCCGGGTTACAAATCTCCGCGCAACTTCGCGGAGATTTGTAACTTTTCGATCTCGCGACGGCGGGGACAAGGAGGCTGTCAAATATCGCCTCATGAGGGCGATGGCAGCGAAACGGGAGTCGCATTAAAGATGCTTAAACACCAAATACTGTAGATGCCATTTATGCAAGGCATCAAGTCTGTGTGAACCGCACCGCCTCATCGCCTTTGTCTCCCCAGTGGCGAATGTTTTACGCACTGCGCTAGTTGCTCATTCAAGGGCTGAGTCGGAGGCAGTGGAGGCCCAGGACTGGTTCAAGATGATCGTCACCCTTCTCGCTCACTCGCGACAATCGACCTCGGGTCACCGGATTCGTAGTGCAGCGTCACGCAAACAACTGCACCGCCGCGTCCCCACTACTACACTCTGAGGTCGCCCACTCCGATGATGCGCAACTACCCGGCTACAAGTCCCGAACCAACTTTTACTTTAAGATTTGCAAAGTGGGAACTGGCAACCTTGTATCCCGCAGAACACCCACGCCTTACGTTTTGCCTTCTTTTTTCTCGCCAGGAGATAAGTAACACGAAGACAGAGGCGCCGGAAACAACAGCATTGCCCCTTCAGCCAGGGTTTTCCCGGGTTAGGTCAAGTCGTGCGAGGCAGGCGGAATAATATCGCACACGTCGAGATCAAATTTAACGCAACGTTGTACGGATGAGTAGGGAAGGGATCTGAGTGAACGAGCGACCACAACTTCCCTAGCCTCGTCCACCCGCGTTGCAAATGCCCTGCCGATAAGCAATGGTTGGCTACATACGGTGCTAAAGAAGTTCAACATACATAGACTCACATAGTCACTCACCCACTTACAGTCATTCACCCACACACTCACCCATCCTCCGATTAGCAACGGTTGCCTAACGTACGACGCGAAAAAAGTCCAACGTGCACACGCCGTGGATGCGACCCCTTCCCCTACCTAACTGCGTCCATTGTCGAGGAGGTGGAGGGAGGGGGTCGGTGCAGGTTCTCGATGGGAGGCAGCAGCAGCAGGAGCAGTCTTGGTGGGTCACCTCTGCGACACAGAGTTCGAGCGGATCGTGTGGGGTTTGCGGCCGCGGTGCGCGCGTTTTATAGAGGCCGCGTGCGGCGTGCGGTCAGCGATCCGTGATTGATTTCTGGGTGCCCGGAGCCAACTACAAAAACCCAACAACAAAAACCCACCGCAGCTTTGCAAAAAAGCTCAAAGAATGTGATGGGCGAAGCCCGCCAGCCCCCACCGTCCCCACCCACCGGTGTGGGGGTAGGCGAGCCTCAAGGCTCCCGGTAGACTGTGTGATGAACATGATCAGCTCATTTACATCGAGCGGGGATCCTTAACCCGGGGGGTATGGGGGGCGGGGTATTTACAAAACTATGGTATCCGTATTAACATATTTGTTAACACGAGATGTTAATTACCTCGACTGGTATGTACGAGATCGTGGGTTGGATAAAAAAATCAATATTTTTAATTAGTTTCCCGGGTAAACAAAAGGCATTAATTATTGCTCACGGGTAGTTGAAGGCCAGCTCTTTGATCTGCATGGTGACAGAGGTCGCCAGAGAGCTTGACTTTTCAAATAATGGCCTGCAGAAGGAGAAATCACGAAACTAGTTTTGAGTGAAATCCCATCAAAGTGACCTTTTAATACCTCGCATGTTCCCACTTGCCCCGCCTGCAGAGAACCATCTGTTGGTCGGCAAAGGTGCTGATGGATGCCTTCACATTCCCAACGCTGGAAATCTGCCAAGCGACCGACGTGGGCTCAGGTTAACAACGTTTCATTGTTGCGCTCGTAACGCACCACCACACGGCGTTTGCACCCACTCACATCATTGATCGAAGAGAAAGGACCACTCGGAGGCAATGAGGAGGAGTCGCGGACAAGTGGGAAGGCAGCAGCCGAGCACTCAGCCGGCACTACCGACAATTGCATAAAGATCTGGGGTCCTCTACATAGTAAGATGTTTCAGCCGATTGATGAGTGCTTTCAAGTGGTACGGGAAAAAAACAACTCACAGATGCGAGGGGGCAACACACTATCCCATACAGATGGAAAAGTCGCAGGGGGGGGGGGGGAGGGCGGAGGGGGGGTCCACATTTTGCCGTAACTGCCTTCTCTCAGGTGAGCAAAGGGTAACAGGCTCCTCCTTGATGCAGACACGGAAGGGGGTTCATGACACGTATAGCGATCCACCAACCCTCGCTGCTGCGCCCCCACAGTGCTGGTTCACGGACCACCACTGCCCGTGTTGATTATGATGTCAATACAGGGACCCACATTTGGGAGTTGCTTGCGTCCCTACGTTCCAACAAGAACCCTGAGGTTGTGTGGACTTGGGTCTCCTCCTCCTCGGCATCCCCGAAATGAAGCCCAAGTCCATGGGCAGGCATCTGGGCCTTTGCTGTGGAACTCTATGGGCCTTCCCGTCTGTGGCACCCACACTGTGGAACTCTCTGGGCCTTGACTCCCGTGGCACCTGCACTGTGGAACTCTCTGGGCCTTCACACCCGTGGCACCCGCACTGTGGAACTCTCTGGGCCTTCACTCCCGTGGGACCCGCACTGTGGAACTCTCTGGGCCTTGGCTCCCGTGGGACCCGCACTGTGGAACTCTCTGGGCCTTGGCTCCCGTGGCACCTGCACTGTGGAACTCTCTGGGCCTTGGCTCCCGTGGGACCCGCACTGTGGAACTCTCTGGGCCTTGGCTCCCGAAGCACCTGCACTGTGGAACTCTCTGGGCCTTAACGCCCACGGCACCTGCCCGGTGGAACTCTCTGGGCCTTCAATCCCGTGGCACCCCCAACCTGTGGAACTCTCTGGGTCTTGACTCCCGTGGAACCCGCACTGTGGAACTCTCTGGGCCTTGGTTCCCGTGGCACCCACACTGTGGAACTCTTTGTGCCTTAACTCCCGTGGCACCTGCCCGGTGGAACTCTCTGGGCCTTCACTCCCGTGGCACCTGCCTGGTAGAACTCTCTGGGCCTTCAATCCCATGGCACCTGCACTATGGAACTCTCTGGGCCTCACTCCCATGGCATTCGCACTGTGGAACTCTATTGACCTTCCCGTCTGTGGCACCCACACTGTAGAACTCTCTGGGCCTTCACTCCCATAGCGCCCGCACTGTGGAACTCTCTAGGCCTTCACTCCCGTGGCACCTGCACTGTAGAACTCTCTGGGCCTCCACTCCCGTGGGACCCGCACTGGGGAAATTTCCGGGCCTTGACTCCCGTGACCCCCACCCTGTGGAACTCTCTGGGCTTTCGCTTCTGTGGCACCCACCCTGCAGAATTCTCTGCCGAGGGCTGTCAGGAAGTCCGGTTTGGTTGGGTTCTTCAAGTCCTTCCGCGTTTACTTTTTTAACTTGGCCACTTCTTGTCTAACCTCCCCACCCCCATTGTCATTTTTAGTAAAGCACCTTGACATGTTATGAAAAGCGCTATTTAAGTTGTTATTCTTATCATAGTTCTGCTACTTTTATGTGTCCCACGGACTTAAAAAGACATGTTTAAATGTACGGAAGAGGGAGGTTGAGTTTGGAGTGATGTCTCTGTTACAGAATGTGTCGAGGCGACCCGCGGTGTGCGCCGAGACAAGGGTGGAGGAAGTCTGCCCGTGCTTCACGGGAGGCCGTTGCCGGCAGGTGGCGGACTCCCAGGAGCGCGTCGAGACTAACTCCCCTCCGATGAGAGACAGTGCAGTGTGTGCAACAGAGACCCCGACAGGAGGAACCAGGGACCCGGGGGGACCACTCGGCAGGCACGGAGCCCACACCCCAGGGCCCGACGGGTCGCTCAACCCCACCCGATCGGATCCAGGAGGACATCGGCTGCGCCTTCCCGGGCCTGGACGACGAGCAGCTGAGACGGACCCAGCTGCGAGATCCGGATCTGGCAGCGGTGGAGGCGGCCCTACGGGAGAAGGAGGACGCCCTACCAGGACCCTGGAGTGGTTTGTATGCCCAGTTGTGCGTGCAGAACGGGGTGGTACGGGAACTAAAGGAAGCCGGCCAGCCGGGATGCATCTGCGTTCCCGCCCAGGTGCGACCCCAGCTGCTGAGACTAGTGCACGACCACCCGCTCGGGGGGCCATGACGGGGAACGGCGCACTCGGGAAACCCTACGCCGCCAGTATCTCTGGCCCAAGTTGGCACAAGACGTGGCCGCCTGGGTGCAGGGCTGTCGCGCGTGTCAGCAATGCGGGCCAAGACCAGCGCGATACCAGGTAGCCCTGAGGCCGTTCCGTGTCAGCCGGACGAACCAGCTGGTCGGGATCGACCTGCAGGGACCATTCCCGTGATCCCACCGGGGCAACCGATATAATCTCGTAGCGGTGGAATACTTCACACGCTATCCCGTAGCGGTAGCCATCCCCGATAAGACAGCCCTCGTAGTGGCCCGAGCGTTCGTGGAACACTACGTACTTAAGCACGGGATCCTCGAACGAGTCATTACTGATCAGGGTAGTGAGGTCGAGGCAGAGCTATTCCAGGCGCTGTGCCGAGAGTTCGGGATCCAGAAGGACCGAACTACGGCGTATCACCCCCAGGCAAACGGGATGGTAGAGAGGATGAACCAGACTCTAGCCGGGAAGCTGAAATGCATGGCAGCCGCGAATCAACAGAACTGGGACGAACACCTCCCCTATGCTCTGTTCGCCTACGCCACCACAGTACACAGATCCACGGGACAGACCCCGTTCCTAATGATGTTTGGTCGCGAGTCTCGCTTACCCACAGATCTGCTGTTCGGTGTCCCTCCGCCGCAACGGGAGGAAGGGAGCCGCCCCGTGGAGCACTTGATGGAGACCCTACGAGAAGCTAGGGTCCGGGCCTACCCGTAAGGCGAGACCGCACACCAGCGGCAGGAGCGGGGCGCCCGACCCTGAATGGAGCCCCCCTTCTACTCGGCAGGCTCTAAGGTGTGGCTGCACACCCCTCGCGTTGGGGCCGGAAAGGTGGGGAAGTTAACCACCTACTGGCGGGGACCCTGGATGGTGGGGCGACAGATCTCCCCCTGGACGGTACTGATTCAGGGGGGAGAAGGGGGCCGGGAGATGGTAGTCAATGTCCAGCGACTGAAACCATGGAGGGCGGCCCCAGCAAAGGAGAACCCTGCCGCTCGAGGACCCCGAAATCTGGGGTCCCTACACCCCCCATACCCGGGGGCCTCGCACAGTATATGGGCCCCACGGGGCCCCGGGCCCCAGGGGGTCCTGACCCAAGCCAGGAGAGATGGGGACGACGGTCCCTGAACCCCACCGCCCCCGAGTTTGTCTCCCCGCCCGCAGGTACCCAGGACCGGAGAAAACCACTGGAGTGGAGGAGGAGACCGCCGCCGGAACCCCGGGAGATGGAACCGCCACCGCCGAGGCCAGCCACAAGAGCCGGACGAGTCCCGTGGACTCCGCGGCGTTACCTCGTAGGGGCAACCCAGGCGAGGTGCTCCAGTCAACCCGGGACTGGCACCTCGGGGGGCTGTGAGGTACCACCGCGGCGGAGCAGCTCCGTTGGGGGCCGTATTCACCACCGTGACACCGCCATCGGGGAGTGACAACGCCGACGCGCCGCGCCCCTCGCCCCCCCCCCCCCCCCCCCACATGTATACACACACACATCTCACGTAGGGCCGGGAGGGAAGGTCACCTGGCCGACGGGTTTTTATCCAGAAGCCCCTAATGGGATCAAGCTTCATGGTTTCCCGCGGCCGGGAAATTTGGTGATCTACCCCAGAGGCTGACACGCACTGCGGCACCGTGACCTGACATTAAAGTTGCGTGGTCACGGCGGAGGCCGTTGCGCCACCGCAAGCGAAACCGCACACACACGGCACGGGGCGTGGGAACCGCGAGATGCCTGTTGTTATAGATGGGATTAGGAACTGAATGCCTGTTGTTATAGATGGAATTAGAAACTGAATGCCTGTTGTTATAGATGAGGTCACGGATCAGCATGTGAAAAAGGACGAAAATAACTCAGCCTCTGAATGGACAGGGCGGTACGGAGCGTGGGAACCACGGTACGCCTTTGTCATAAGTAATATTACAGATCTGAATATGAAGGAGCACGGGTGGGCAGGCGCCAGAGCAATGGAATGCCTTTAGGGTGTATAAAATACGGAGGCTTAGCATAGCAAGAGACAGTCTTCTTCAAAAATTATCGTGGTCCACGCAGGAGGGGAGTCAGCCGTTCAAGACGTCCGCGTGACGAACTTCAGCGCAGCCAGGCTCAACCCTCTATGGATCGCTTTTCTACAGCTTCCAGCGCAGCAGAGTGGAAGCACGCGTGAGTAAGAGAGAGAGGTAAGTTTGGGCTATTTGATCGAGGGTAGAAAGCAGAGCGATAGGCAGAGGAAATACAGTCTAGGATCCCAAAGGGAATAGGCTGACATCCACTGACCCACACAATTATGCGTAGCTTAACGGGTTTCTCGCAGTAAATAAAATAACTGGTAGGGGAATAAACTGTGTCGTGTGGTCTTTGGGAGGGTGAAAAGGAGGGTGGAGAGTGTTTTTTTGTGTTCGCGCGCATACGCGGCTGTTTGCGGCGAATAAGGGAGTAGCGCTTTGCGCTCGCGTGCGTGCGTGCGCGGTTGTTTACAACGAGGCGGAGCGCTTAGCGTGCGTGTGCCTACTCGGCTGTGTACGGTGGGGGTTAGTGCTCGCATAACCGTGCGACTGTTCACGACAGTGCTTATCGCGCTGGGTGTTCGCGTGCAGATGCGGTTGCTTTCCACGAAGCGGAGTGTTCAGTGTGCGCGTGCCTACGCGTCTGGTTTCGGTGGCGTTTAGCGCTCGCGTACCTGTACGATTGTTTACAGTAGGGCTTAGCGCTCGCGTGCCTGTGAGACGGTGTTGCGGTCGCATGCCTGCGCGGTTCTCTAGCGAAGTAGCGAACTAAGCGCCTGGCGTGCACGTTTTCGCGCGGCTGTGTAAACAGCCCCTTTAAATCGGCGCGAAGTGATCGCGGCGTGTTTGTTCTAGCTTGCGCGCGTGGAGCGTGGGTGGGAGGGAATCCCGCGGCGGCACGCCACACTTGGTTATTCACGTGCAGGACGGGGTTTTACTTTGCGAGTGCGCTCACCGCGGCACGCCGCCGTTGAACAGTGTAGCGCATCGTAAGCGTAGAGCAGGCGGCCGCATCGATTGAAACATGCCGACGCGATCAGCAACACAGTCAGGGGCACAGGAGGGCAAGGAAGTGGGGGCCGGTAGCCAGAACAGAGCAGCCGGGGGGTAGTGGGACAAATGTAGCGGGAGAGTCGGGAGCCAACGGCCCCGACAATTCGGTGATGGCGGGGGACGTTCGCCCCCACAAATGAGCTGTGTCCCTGGGGCAGTTTGAAAATAAGTTATTGCTATTTGAGCACAAGTCTCCTGAGACGGATGCTCGGAATTCTGCGTGCAAAAATGCAGTTGAACAGACGAGTGTATACGAGTATTAAACTGTGCTGTAGATATTCACGAGGGTGTATCTCATCAGTAAAAAAAAAACGGTAAGCCACGTACAAAAAATGGCGGTGGCCATCTCTA